TATTGTTTTCAATGTAAGGCATACGGTCACCATGCCTTTACATGCAAGATAATAGCCGAACAAGAAAGGAAGGAAAGGGAGGAAAAGAAAAAGAACAAGGGACCACAAATACCGAGTCAACAAGAGGACAAGGCTGGCACATCAAAAGGGAACCAAGATGAACAAATAGGGGATCATGCCGCGGCATTAACCCCTAATAAGACTGTGGCTGAGGAGCACCCATTCCTTAAAACTATGAGGCTTAAAAAGAAGAGGAAGGAAAGGGCAAGGAGGAGAAAGAGAAAGCAAAGGGAGGATGGGGAGGTTTCTTCCGGCTATGAGACATCTCGGGAACAAGAAGAGGAGGGTGATGAACCAAGAGTTATTAAAGATTTTGGATACATTTGTGATGATGAGGTTATCACTAGCATGGATGCCGAGGAAGCTTTCACACCAACAATAGAGGTTAAACACATTGATGATATTGATGAACCCATCATTCGCCTTGATCATTTCCTACGAGATGTCAAGGAAGACCAACCCGGTGTATGGTTTACAAGGGAATGCCTTGAAGGTCTTCCCGGTGTGATAAAGAGAAAGAGGGGATACGGCTTTACATCATGCTTTATGTCAAATGTGCTTAGGCACTATCTTGATAGATACTATGAGGATGGTGCCCCCTCGGGTAATGGAAGCAAGGTGAAAGACCCAAGAAAGTTCAAAAATAAACCGAAGAGAATTGTAGAAGATGTTCGAGAGGTGTACTTGGATGATGTCATCACCCACATTGAGTTCCAAGAGGGGAAGCCTACAAAATTACATCTCACACATGCCGAGGCTGTTGAAGAAGGAATGACAAGGCTAGACAACTATCTTAGAGTGGATGACAAAGGCTATGTTCAAGGACTTACGTTTACTACAAATTGCTTGAGGGAACTCCCCGGGGTGCATGTCACAGAGGAAGGGTATGATTTCTCTTCTATATTTATGACTAGTGTGTATCATCTTTTTCTTAATAGGTACAAGGTTTGTGAGCAATACCGCCAATGGAGGAAGCAAGACGGTGAGGTAAATAGGTTGGCCAAGAGGAAGGGGAAGAAGCCAAATGTTGTTTAATGATAGTAGCTTCATGGAATGTTAGGGGGCTAAACAAAGCCTCAAAACAAAATACTATTTTGAACTTCATAAAGCTTAATAAGGTACGTATTTTTTGCTTACTTGAAACAAAGATGTCTATTACTACGTTTGCTAATTTTATGAAATTTAGGTTACCATCTTGGTTGTATGTTACTAATTTTGATAAAATAGATGGAGGAAGGATTGCCGTGTTGTGGGATCCTAATTTTGTAGAAGAAGATATAATTGATGTTAATATACAACATGTGCATGCTAGGTTTAAGTGTCGAACTACACAATTACCTTTCTATGCTTCATTTGTGTATGCATTGTATACGGTTTGTGATAGAAGAGTGCTTTGGGACCATTTAACCGGGTTAGCTACCAACATTCTAGCCCCTTGGGTTGTATTAGGAGATTTTAATTGTGTAGGGGCTCCGGGTGAAAGATGTGGGTCTGCCATACCCTCGGGTTATGCAATGCAAGATTTGAACACTATGAAAATGAATGCAAATATAAATGATGCTCCCTCAACCGGGGAATTTTATACATGGAATAGGGGTGGGAAATGGGCTAAGCTTGATAGAGTACTTATTAACTCTTTTTGGAGTACTCAAGGGACTGCATGCCGAGCCCACTTTCTAGAAATGGAAAGTGAGTTTGATCATGTTGCATCCTTGGTTACAATAGGAAAATCTGACTTTGGTGGGACTAAACCATTTAAATTCTTCAATATGTGGCTTAAACATGATAAATTCTTGGATATTTTGAATGATATTTGGAAAAGGAGGGTTGTTGGAAGCTCTCAGTTTAGACTTGCTCGTAAACTAAAACTTCTTAAACAGCCTCTTAAAGTGCTAAATAAAGAGGAATTTAGTCACATAACGGCAAGAGCAAAGGAAGCAAAGAAGGAGTTTAAGAGAATCTACCAGTTAGCCCTCTTAGCTCCTTTAGATGAGGCTCTCAAAGAAGAACTTTTAATGGCAAAGAAAAGATCACTTTTTCTTAAAGAGGCTGAGGAAGCTTATCTGAAACAAAAGGCTAAGGCAATCCACTTAATTCAGTCAGATAGATGCACCAAGTATTTTCACTCAATTGTAAAGAAAAGGAATGCTCAAAACTCTATTGCTTCTATAAGGTTAGAGGATGGCACTCTTACAAACTCCATGAATCAAGTTGCAAATGAATTTATAACTTTCTTCAAAGATCTGTTTGGCACAAAAGTGCAATCTTCTGGATTTGATAATAGTGTCATACCCTCGGGTAAACTGATTGACCATGATAGAATAGAGGGTTTAATCAAACCTATCACTGATTTAGAGATTAAACAATCACTTTTTGACATTGGAGATGACAAAGCCCCAGGCCCAGGTGGGTACTCTTCTGCTTTCTTCAAAGCAAATTGGGGACTAGTTGGGAATGATGTATGTGATGCGGTTAAGGAGTTTTTTCTGTCTGGTGTTATGCTCAAACAAACTAATCATACTGTTGTAGCTCTTATCCCAAAGAAAAATCACTCCCCTACAGTAGCTGATTTCAGGCCAATCTCTTGCACAAATGTGACCTATAAAATCATTACTAAGATTTTAGCATCTCGGCTTGGGGACTGTCTTTCTAGCATTATACACCCCTCACAAGGAGCTTTTGTGGATGGTAGGTTGATGTCTGACAACATCTTCTTAGCACAAGAGTTAGTTAGGGGATATGCTAGGAAGAGGGTTACTCCTAGGTGTATGATTAAAATTGATCTCAGGAAAGCATATGATACTGTCTCTTGGGAGTTCCTTGAGATGGTACTTAGACAGATTGGTCTCCCTAATGTTTTTGTGTGTTGGATTATGGAATGTGTTACCACTTCCTCTTTCTCAATATCTATTAATGGGGTCTTACATGGCTGGTTTGAAGGTAAAAGGGGCCTACGCCAAGGTGACCCTATGTCTCCCCTCCTGTTTGTCTTGTGCTTAGAGTATTTTTCAAGATTAATGGATCAAAGGACTTCTAATCCCACTTTCAAATGGCATCCTTTATGCTCACAATTGAAAATCTCTCACCTTGCTTATGCTGATGATTTAATGCTTTTCTCAAAAGGGGATTATAAGTCAATAAAGATTTTGGTGGATGCTTTGTATGATTTTGGTCAAGCCTCTGGGCTTATGGTTAATCATGAAAAGTCTAACATTTTCTTGGGAGGTAATGTAATTAATCAGTTGTCCCATATTTTACAAATGGTTGATTTTCAACAAGGTGAATTTCCAGTAAAGTATCTTGGAATTCCATTATCTCCACTAAAGGTGTTCGTGGCTCAATATTCTCCTTTAATAGATACGGTGGCTGATTTCATTAATGCTTGGAATACTAAGAGCTTATCTTATGCAGGTAAGGTTGAGCTGATCAAAACTGTTTTGCAAGGTGTACAGTCGTTTTGGCTTGGCATCTTCCCTATCCCTAAGACTATTTTGGATAGAATTGTGGGGCTTTGCCGAATCTTCCTATGGGGGGGAAAGCATGCTAAAGTGGCTTGGGAAGACATTTGCTTACCAACAGAAGAGGGAGGGCTGGGAATAAAAGATTTTAAGGTTTGGAACAATGCTCTCCTATCTAAGACATTGTGGAATATACACTTGAAACAAGACAATCTTTGGGTTAGGTGGGTACATGGTGTCTACCTTCATGGTAGGGATGTGTGGACCTTTTGTCCACACAATAGGGATTCCCAACTTATGAAAAGGTTGGTTTTGATTAGAGATGCTATCGTCTCTAAATTTCCCTCCCTCCCCATGGCTTTGCAATACCTCGGTAAATGTTCTTCCAATGGAAGACTTCTCCCGTCGAAGGTTTATGATGTTCTTAGGATTAAAGGGACAAGAAGTGCTTGGATGTCTTTTATTTGGAAAGCATATGTTCCACCAAAGTTCTCTTTCATCACATGGTTAGCCTTTCGGAATAGGCTAGCAACCTCGGACAAATTGTCATATCTTGATTTACCTAACGAATGCCTATTTTGTAAGGGTGGCCTAGAAACAGCGCCACACCTATTCTTTGAATGCAACATTACAGGGCAGGTTTGGAAGGCAATACGTGAATGGCTAAGCATGGCAAGACAAATGACATCCCTAAAGAGCTCGGTGAAATGGATCCAAAAGGAATGCAAAGGAGCGAACATTAGAGCTAAAGCTATGAGGATTGCTTTCAACTTCACAATTTATTGGATATGGAGGATAAGGAACTCCCTTCGTTTTGATGGAGCTACATACAAGGTGGAAGATATGATCGCACATGTTAAGTTCATGGTGTACAAAGTCCTATATTCCATATATCCTACGCATATGATAAATTTTTGATACTTTCGTCACCTAGGTTTTTGCTATGGGCTTCATAGAGCTTTACATGTTTGCTCTTTTTTGGTGGTGATAGGACATCCCTACCTGGGATTGTCTACATTTTTGTCCCACATGATGTACAGAACTATTATCTATATATATTTACATTTCCCCAAAAAAATTGAAACCAGCACCTGAAGACAAAATTTAGAACTCGGTAAGATCTTTCCAACGAGATATTAAAGGCTTTCAACGGCACAAATTAGAGCAAGATATGATCGTATAAAATTCTACACGACTTCGGAGTGAAATCAGAAACATTTGTGAATATATGGTTAATCTGTAACTTTTAATTAATGCATTGTAAATGAAGTTGGAACAATAGATTTAGAGCTCCGATCTATCTTTCCAACGAGATATAATAAGCTCCAAATGGATAAACACACAGCAAGATACGAGTGTCAGAAATACTTAGCCTTATCTCTATGATTTACCGTTTTCAGAGAAAATAAAGCATTTTTAGCGTAAATACAGTGTATTTTAGTAATTAGGCAGTCATCCCTTGATATTTTGAAATCAGCGCCTGGAGAACTCGGTAAGATCAAGATCTGAAGGGCAAAAGTTGAGAGCTTCTCTCTCGTGGGATTTCCGTCCCACTTCTTTTGCGGAAATGGATTCGTCGTGTTCGTTGATTTCTGCAGTTTAATCGGTTGTTTTTGGTGGTTATTTAGTCGGTTTCATCTTTGAAATACATCTGTATCTTGGATTTGAAATCTGCAGAAGTTACGCAGGTCAAAACCTAAAACGCAAAGGTGCGATTACAGGTCGTACGCAGAACGATTTATGGTTTCATGATTTTGAGGTTCTAATCTTGCTTTGTTTTAGTCGCAATTTCCTGAATTCCTATTTTTGAATTTCAATTTGAGATTGGAAGGATGGTCTTCGACCAAAAAACAAAGAAACGAGTTGATTGAAACGCAGGGTTACTGTTCATGTCGGTTTTCAATTTCGTTTGATTTGCAAAATCGTTTGTTTCTGGAATTCGAGTGTTGTTAGGGGCTCACCCTATTGTGGCGCAGTGTCCTAACTTGATTGTGGAAGTTGGGGGAAGCTGAAGTTTCTGAAACGGGTCCAAGGTTACTGTTCCTTCGCGACTCAAGCACAGGGTTGCAATAGCTCCTGTAACCATGGCGAGGAAAAAACAGGGTGGGGCTGGGGTTTCCTCAACAACGACGTACACCAGCAGGTCATCTCAGAGGTTTGCGTTATTTGAAGGATCAGATGAGGAATTCCCAGAGCTTATCTCTGCTATGAATAGGACTGGGACTGTACCTGCTACGATTGAATTGCAAGCTGAGGCTGAATCGGGTAAACAGCTGATCTCAACAGAACCTGAGGTTGCTGGGATTAATAAAAAGGCTGGGAGAAATGCGGAAGTAACCAAAAAGGCTATTCCTATGCAAACACTGCCAGTGAAGAAGACACTTCAGCTGCAAACTGCCAGTAAAGCTCTGAAACCTGGGGACCCTGCTGCAACTCTGGGAAGGAATTCTCCAGCAACTGTAGAACAGGTAGTTACTCCTAAAATACCAGCAGCTGTTCTGGGAGAAAGAATCAAGGGAGGTGCTGGGCAGAATTATGTCTTGGCAGAAAAACCTAAGGCTATTGCTGTTGAATATGAGGAAGAAACTGTAAAGGCTCTGACTATCCCCAAAGAGGCTGATATGGGTAATAAACCATGGAACACACTCTTTAAGGATAACCGAGCCCCAACTCATGGAATTAAATTGAGATTTATCCAGCCGAAGGGTAATGTTGTAGACTTTACTAATAGGGTTATGCCAACCATGGTTGAGATGTGGGGTCACTGTCTAGTTGGATGCTTCACAGGTCGGTTCCCCGGCCTCAAGGCAGTATATGAAATGAAAGAAAAATGGGAAGTGAGGTGCCTTGTTAGGCCCCATGACAAAGGTTGGATTATTTTCAAATTTCAAAATGATGCGGATAGAATGAAAGTTTTAAATGAGGGACCGTACACCATTTTTGGAAAGCTTCTGATGCTTAAGGTACTGTCAGAGGACTTCTCATTTGATGATGAAGAATTTCTCAAAGTGCCTATTTGGGTTAAACTTCCTAACCTACCATTGCAACTATGGAATGAGGAAGCAATGAGTGAGGTGGCTTCTATGATTGGAACTCCTTTAACAACGGACCGAATCACTCAAGAGAGGGCGAATCACAATTTCGCTAGAGTACTTATCGAAGTTGATGTGTCAAAGCCACCACCACTATTGGTTCCAATACGATTACCTTTCCAAAAGGTTTTCAACCAACGTGTGGTGTACGAAACGTTTCCTAATTATTGTTTTCATTGCAAAAAATATGGGCATCACCCTTTTATTTGTAAGGAGCTAGCTGAAAAGGAAATAGAAGAGAAAAATGGGAAAGAAAAGAACAAGGAGGTTGGTATCATAAAAACTGCTGCACAAGATGCTTTGAAAGAGAGCTCATGCCATATTGCTACCCGAGTGGAGAAAAGGACGGAAATAGAAGAGGGCAAACTGCCCGATGCTCAACTTGAGGAGGGAAAGATCTTGGAGAAACCTGGGAATCCAAAGCTTGATAGCGACACGGTGAATAAGGAGGTAGAAGCTGCACTTAAAGTTGCTCAACCGGTACAGGAAAGTGCAATTGTTGCACCGCAGCCCCCTGCACCAAAGAAGGGTCCGGGTAAGAAAATGGTGTTTAAAATTAGAAAATGCTAATATGAATTAGTTACGGCCTAATTTTCTGAAGGGAGTGTTAGTGGGGCGCTGGTCCAATTTTGCTGGGAGACGTTTTTGTTTTGTTTATTAGGAACCTGCTACTTCATGCTGGAGGGTGAAGGTGGAACTTTGAGTGCTTTGACTTGCTGGAGGCTGCCACCCATGTCATTGGCAGAATGTCATGGAGATTTATTTTGAATAATAGAGATTAGGGAAGATATTCGAATTGGGGGGCTGTCCCAATATTAGTACTTTTGTGATGCATTATATCTAGTTAGTGTATTCTAGCTTAGATAGTCATTTTGATCCGAATTTGATACATTGTAAAATGTTATTTCTGGGTGGTTTATATATTTTTACATTTCATCCAAAAAATTGAAATCAGCGCCTGAAGACAAGTTTTAGAACTCATTAAGATCTTTCCAACGAGATATTAAACGATTTCAACGGCACAAAATAGAGCAAGATATGATCGCATCAAATTCTACAAGAGTTCAGAGTGAAATCAGAAACATTTGTGAATATATGGTTAATCTGTAACTTTTAATTAATGCATTGTAAATGAAGTTGGAACAATAGCTTTCGAGCCCCGATCTATCTTTCCAACGAGATATAATACGCTCCAAATGGAGAAACACACAGAAAGATATGAGCGAAAATAGAGCACTTTTAGCGTAAATACAGTGTATTTTAGTAATTAGGCAATCATCCCTTGATATTTTGAAACCAGCGCCTGAAGACAAGTTTTAGAACTCGGTATGATATTTCCAACGAGATATTAAACGCTTTGAACGGCACAAAATAGAGCTAGATATGATCGCATTAAATTCTACACGAGTTCGGAGTGTAATCAGAAACATTTGTGAATATATCGTTATTCTGTAACTTTTAATTAATGCATTGTAAATGAAGTTGGAACAATAGTTTTAGAGCTCCGATCTATCTTTCCAACGAGATATATTACGCTCCAAACGGATAAACACACAACAAGATATGAGTGTCACAAATACTTAGGCTTATCTCTATGATTTAGCGTTTTCAGCGAAAATAGAGCACTTTTAGCGTAAATAAAGTGTATTTTAGTAATTAGGCAATCATCCCTTGATATTTTGAAACCAGCGCCTGAAGACAAGTTTTAGAACTCGGTAAGATCTTTCCAACTAGATATTAAACGCTTTCAACGGCACAAAATAGATCAAGATATGATCGCATCAAATTCTACACGAGTTCAGAGTGAAATCAAAAACATTTGTGAATATATGGTTAATCTGTAACTTTTAATTAATACAGTGTATTTTAGTAATTAGGCAGTCATCCCTTGATATTATGAAACCAGCGCCTGAAGACAAGTTTTGTAACTCATTAAGATCTTTCCAACGAGATATTAAACGCTTTCAACGGCACAAAATAGAGCAAGATATGATCGCATCAATTTCTACACGAGTTCAGAGTGAAATCAGAAACATTTGTGAATATATGGTTAATCTGTAACTTTTAATTAATGCATTGTAAATTAAGTTGGAACAATAGCTTTAGAGCTCCGATCTATCTTTCCAACGAGATATAATAAGCTCCAAATGGATAAACACACAGCAAGATACGAGTGTCAGAAATACTAAGCCTTATCTCTATGATTTACCATTTTCAGAGAAAATAGAGCACTTTTAGCGTAAATACAGTGTATTTTAGTAATTAGGCAGTAATCCCTTGATATTTTGAAACCAGCGCCTGAAGACAAGTTTTATAACTCATTAAGATCTTTCCAACGAGATATTAAACGCTTTCAAAGGCACAAAATAGAGCAAGATATGATCGCATCAAATTCTACACGAGTTCAGAGTGAAATCAGAAACATTTGTGAATATATGGTTAATCTGTAACTTTTAATTAATGCATTGTAAATGAAGTTGGAACAATAGCTTTCGAGCCCCGATCTATCTTTCCAACGAGATATAATACGCTCCAAATGGATAAACACACAGCAAGATATGAGTGTCACAAATACTTAGCCTTATCTCTAAGATTTAGCGTTTTCAGCGAAAATAGAGCACTTTTAGCGTAAATACTATGTATTTTTGAAATTAGGCAATCATCCCTTGAAATTTTGAAACCAGCGCCTGAAGAAGTTTTAGAACTCGGTAAGATCTTTCCAACGAGATATTAAAGGCTTTCAATGGTACAAATTAGAGCAAGATATGATCGTATAAAATTCTACACGACTTCGGAGTGAAATCAGAAACATTTGTGAATATATGGTTAATCTGTAACTTTTAATTAATGCATTGTAAATGAAGTTGGAACAATAGCTTTAGAGCTCTGATCTATATTTCCAACGAGATATAATACGCTCGAAACGGATAAACGCACAGCAAGATATGAGTGTCAGAAATACTTAGCCTTATCTCTATGATTTACCGTTTTCAGAGAAAATAAAGCATTTTTAGCGTAAATACAGTGTATTTTAGTAAATAGGCAGTCATCCCTTGATATTTTGAAATCAGCGCCTGAAGACAAGTTTTAGAACTCATTAAGATCTTTCCAACGAGATATTAAACGATTTCAACGGCACAAAATAGAGCAAGATTGTCACACAATAAAAATTTAAATGCAAAAAAAAAAAAATTAAATAGTAAAAAAAAATGATGAAATAAAATGTGAATGTATTGTTTAAACATATGGATCAGAATGCATTAATGCACACTTCTATTTCGTGATTTGTAACTTAACCTTCTTTGACTAAGGGAGTGCTTCGGGGACGAAGCATCTTTTAAGGGGGTAATAATGTGACACCTCAAAATTTTATAAGTAAAAATAATAATAATAATATGTAATAAAAATGAAGAGATATAATTTATTTGGTACAAATATAAGGCAGATATATTCTATCTGATAAAATGGCATAAACTATTTGATAAGGATAAAATTTTAAAATGGTAAAATAAGATATGTACATGCATACACATGCATGTAACGTTTAAGCATAATAGTAATAATGATAATAAAGTAGAACATTGTTACGGAGAGGAACTTTAGCATACATGATATACTACATACATATACATCATATACATGCATACGGTTTATATAATACATACATGCATAAAATATAACGGCGGTAGTACTACGCATCTCATGCTCACTTAATTACTCCGCACTTAATAATTAAAAGCATCAATAATGAATTACAATGAAACGATCGGTCAGTTCTGGAAGTAGCTCAACGGACATAACAGCTACGGCCTTCGGAGTACAGCAAACGTTAAAAAAAAACAGAGAAACGTAACAGCCGACGTCGAGAAGCTTCCTGGTTCCTGTATATATATCACGGTCGACAGAAATCTGGTACACAAAACCTGCGTTTCGTCCCATTCAAAAAGCAGCAGCGGTACTTATATATATATATATAGATACACACACACCCACCAGATTTTCGACCCAGTTTTATACTGTAAACCAAGCCTGTAAATCGCTTCTGAAACCTTCCCCTTCGTGAGAGGAATCCAACGGTGAAGGAATCATTGAAAACGATCGTGAAACGAGAGAGATATCGCTTGTCGGAGTTTCGCCGTACTAACTGTAGCGACGGAAAACGGAGAAGAAGGAGGAACCGCCGCTGCCGCCAACCAACCACTGAGCTTCGCCATCCCAGAGAGAGTGCACCGCCGCCACTATTTCACGCTTCCGTCGAGGTAAGCTTCCCACGTGTTTACCTGCGTTTCTGCGACATACCAACGAAGAAGATGACTTAGTTCATCTTCTTCACTTACGGCTGAATTTTAGTGCATGGGCTGGATTCTTTGAACTGGGCCGGATAATAATAATAATAATAATAATAATAATAATAATAATAATAATAATAATCTGCAAAATTGATAAATTTGAGATCAGAAATATTAATGGTGAATTTGGCTTGATTAATTATTAGTAATCACTTGGATAATTTTATTATTTGTTATTTAACATAATTAAATAAGGTAGAATGATAAAACGAATTGATGGTTTAATTAATAAACTATTAACATAATTATTTATTTGGACTTAGTACCATAATTAGATTAAATAAATTTGAAGCAGAGTAATAAAATTAACATAATTTCGGATTCGGAAATATTAAGTGTTTGAGTAATCAATAAAATCAGAATACGTTATAAGCGATTAGTTAAATAGTTGTTATAATATTCAGATTTACTAATGCTAATAATGTTGATTAATATAATTGATTAAATCAAATAGCTAGAATAATCAATTACTTAAATTAATAAATTCGAATAAGAAAATAAAAAGGGAAAATTGGATAAACTATTGAATAAGTGACTAATTATATCATCTTAATTAAAAAGGTGATTATCTAGAGACCGAGATAGAGGAAGATAAATAGAAGCATTTGGATTTAAGGTAAGTTTCACGTCAACCGATATTAGTTCTTTTCCTTCGTGATTTCTTTGAATATTTTTGTGTGCATATTTGAGAATTGAATTTATGTGTGCTGAATTTTATTAAATATCAATATATGAAAAGGTTGTATTTGAGATATTAGTTGATACATTGGTTTGTTAATATACGATTTAAGGAGATTTTGTAATATTACGTAGTTTGTTATCTTTGTGGGAGTTTGATGAAAAAGAAATTTTTGAAGTATAAACTTCGATTGATTTTGAGAAAACAAAGAGAAATAAATATTTTCATAAAGGGTGAGCATCACGAGAGAAATCCGTGGTGTTGGTTTTCCACGTCCCTTAAAATGTGGAGGATGGTTAGGTCTACTACTACTCAATTTTTGGTTTGTGTTGGTTTGAGTTGAATTGTCGGTCGGTAGAAAACATCCCGACTTTTGAGTAGTAGTGGTAGTAGTAGCTCCTAATCATTCAGGTTTTGAGGTGGGGTAGTTGGTAGAAAACATCCCGGCTACCCGGATCGACTTACTAACCCGGAGGGCTTGGAATACCTTTAGGGGGTGTGCACACTTAAAGTAGTTGTTTCCGTTTCCAAGAAGCAGTTGTGGTACCGGCGATAGTTCCGGGGTGGCCGTACATAACAACGGACCACCGGGCTCAACCAAAGTGTTGAGCACCGCCCTTCTAAATTACTAGGAAGTTAGATACAAAGTGATTTTGGGGGAAATTCAAAAGAGGAGAATTTTGGTGTTTCATGTATTTTGGAATTATTATGGTTTACGAGCTAATTATGTGATTGGGAGTTTATATAGATATCGTTTACTTATGATTTATGGTTTATAAAGTGTTGAAAAATATTTTATGAGGTTGTACGAATTTTATATATATTATTTATTATTACTTTAAAAGGTTAGGTGGAACTTACCTAGCATTATTGCTAATGTTTGTTTTTTTTTTCTTCTTGTGTTCGTATTTAACAGGAGGTGATCATGTTGATTTTGATGCTGCAATGTTTGAGAG